AGGCAGGACTGCAGTGGGGGTGTCCCCAGAGTGCAGTAGAGGGCAGGATCACCTCCCTTGACTTGCTGCTCATGCTCTGGGGATGCAGCCCAGCACACGGCAGGCTTCTGGGATGCATATGCACCCTGCCAGGTCATCATGAAGTTCTTGTCAGAGAAGCAATCTCATTTTAATGATATCTCATTAAGGAAGTTACCTCATTATCATATTTTAAGTGCTTGCACCTTATTTTGTAGCTCTCAAAAAAGAGCAACAGATTATTCATCAAAGGATTTATGTACAGTAATGGATGAAGATTTAAGAAAAACCACATCTGGTCTATCTGCCTTCTGGGCTAGACATACACAATCTGACCCCATCAGTGAGGCTGCACTGGCTTTTAGGCACGTGCCAAAAAATGCTGAAGGTTAACAGAATCATATGCTTGAGGTTATGGAGTTACAGAGCATCTGAGGGCAGACTTCTGCCAAACATCATGGCACAGGTGTAGAAGAGGTGGCATGCATAAAGACGCACCTGAAGGAAGTCCGACAGCAAACACCTGATGACAAGCATGACAAGGCTCTGGTCCTTATTTTGATTGGTCTTTGAAACAAAATCTGTACTGAGCCAGCAAAGAGAACTTCTATCTACTTCGTATTTTTGTGGTAATAAAAGTCAGTGGTCAGTTACCCTGTTTTGGTTTTCTTTACAGCTCAAAAGCCTCTCCCTAACCCAGCAAGATCAGTCTTTGCCAAAACTAGTACAGGTGAATCTGTTCATTCTGAATGCATCTGCTAGTCCTGACAGGTTAGTAAGGTATATAAATTACCTACCTGTGTATTTGCTCAAGACCACCTGGGCTGCTGGAATAGCATTCATCTGAACAATGTTGTACAGATATAGTTCAGTGTTTCTGTTGCTTTTATCCTGTAGCGTGGAACATACCCAGTGGGCATAGCCTTTTACTCCCTCAGTCTCAAGAAACAAACAAAAAAACCAAATGGGATTCATTAAACCTGCTCAAGCAATAACAAAATTATTAAAGATTATAGTAATAATTCTGTGTTTCAGGGCGGAGTCTTGCCTAAAATCTGCACCAGTGTTAAGCAGGAGAAGAAAACACAAGTTTTAACTTGTCTTTTGGGCAAAGAGAATTCATCCATTAACATACCACTTGCTGCACCACTGGAGGGATGACAGACAAAAAGCTATAAAGAGACTGTGAAGTCCTTCACTTTCTTAGAACTAAGGGCACTGGTAATATCCTTGCTCTCTCCTGGAATAGTAATAATTTACACCTTTGACCTCTGTCCAATTCCGTGGGATGCCAAGAATGTTTTTTCATGACTCATGGAGCTGATTTCTCAGACCATATGGACTAAAACACTTAATAAAATAAATGCCTGCTATTCAGTGGCAGCACAAGCCAGGAACAACAACACGGAAGTCACATTGTCTCACCTGCTACACCGTTAACTGTTTCACCATTTGAGACACACCTATTTTTTAAAAAATTACCTCACCAAAGTAGAGATATTAGATATGTAGAAAGTTCAGTACAACACATCTGTTACACTTACATGCATACTGAGTTCAGTTGTGTGCCTGAAGAGATCCATGGTATCATAGCTGTCTACTGTTTCTGCAATAAAAGCCTACAGAAAAGCAAGAGTTGCTGTGGTCAGGTACTTTAAAATTTATGAAATTGTCAAAAAACTCTGCACACATTACATTAGGCACATCTGAAGCATTTAACATGAAGACACTTTCTTTCTCCCATACTCTCCAAGAAACACTAGTTTTGTGAATAAACCAAATACAATTAAACTGCACAAGCAGTTTCCAATGTATCAGTACTTGAAACTCAAGTCTTCTGCTGCTACTTCACATTCTTCAGGACACAGACTCTGTGTCTCAGCACAACTTATAACATCAGACAGGAGCTGAATTTTGACATGTGAAGGTGCTAGGTTCTCTCTCAGAGTCCAGTTTCAATTAGGTATCATTAGCAGGTCAGCTGCATAGGATTACAAAGCACACATACATTGATCATAAAAGCATGAGTAACAAGTATTTCTAACTATTCATGGATGGCCAGGAGCATATCCAACATGGATCAGCAGGAGCATATCCAGCCCTCAGTGGTAAGGGGAAGGAAGGGACTTTCCAGGAAATAAGAACTGCTTTTGTCCCAGGTACATTACAGACCTACTCTTTCTAACAGTGATGTTAGAAAGTGGGGCTGAGAAAAGAGATAAGAGGTGTCAGGTAATGAGCTAGTGGTACAGCTGATGCTGAAATAACTAGCACCTTATGAAGATGGTGCTTTGGTGACAAAGCTCAATAAAAAGCCTTGGAGCACAAACAACAAACAGAGATTGTTTTTTTTAATAGCTAGTTTCTCAGTGAACTCACAAAACCAGCCGAAAAACATTATATAAAATACCTGATTAATATAGCTCCTATTGTATTACCCCTATGGAAACAAAGGGTCCCAACCACCCACAGGGAAGGTAGAAGCTCCCTTAATGTAAACATTTAAGCACATTTACTTAAAATGTGTTATTTTCAAGAACACAATTAAGTGCCAATTGTTAGGATGGAGTCAAAGTCTTCTCCTTGACCAACAAATGTCTTGGTGCAGAGTTTTATGAGAATTTATCACCTTACCTGCCCAATCCAACACAATAAATAAGAAGGCTCCAGAGACTGTGCTATCTTGAAGGCTTCGTGAGCTTGCTGCAGAATCAAAGACAACAGTGCTATTGAGCTATCTGGCACGGTATAATGGCACTTCTGAATATACAGAGGTATCAACATGCAGTAGTATTGGAAAACATTTCATGGACACATTAGATCACTACTAAAAACAAATATTGTGCTGTACAGAACAACACATTACCCTGAGAAATAAGCCCCCTTAGACTTCCTAAAAAAACAAACAAACAAAAAAAAAAAACCAGAAAAAAACCCCCACAAAAACAAAACTTTAAAGACTAAAAGTTCCCCTCCCTTTCAAATATTCCTCCTTCTGATAACAACAAAAAAGTTCAGCATCTAGACTAACCCTTGGAGCACTGGAGCAACTAATGTTTTAAAATCTGACTCCTGGAGGATCCAGTTTTGGAAATTTGCTTTTCCTTCATGCAAAGAGTTAAAAAAATACATTTTCAAAATGGTGAAACTGGTTACCACCTACAAGTCATCTCTGCTCTGTGGACTGCATATATTCAGAGTTCCTCCCTCAATGTGGCACAGGCATTAGCAGTCTTAGCAGCAAGCAGCTTGTAGTATCAAACTATTTTTATAGTAATATAAAATATAAACTATTATCAGTAATTCTGATCTTCACATTTTCACTTACATAAAACTTGGGTAATTCTGAGCAGCAAATAGGTTAAGATATAGTTTTAGCTGCATGAGAACTCTGGACTTAAGACGTACTATAATTTTTCTCCAGTGAAACTCTGAAGACTACACAGATAAAACCCTGCCAATAAGCATGAAGTAGCTACCCGTGGGAAACCCAAAAAATTAAAGTTCAGTTTGTGACCTACAGCTAAAAGTTCTGGGTCAAACCTGGTGTGCACAGCTTTGACTAAACACTTCTCAGTTCTTCCAAACACTTTTCATTCCATCCGGTTGCTTGGAATGCCACGTTACCAGTTCAGCAGAAGTTCCCCTCCAGAGCAAACATCTAATTTATTTGCATGCCTCAAGTGAGGTGCAGGTGCCAATTTCTTTCAAAGAAAGTACATTTCTTGCATCAGAGAGGGACATTCTTCACTGTTTGCCCACACTCCCATCCCCATAACGTTCATTAAAGGGGGGGGGGGGGGTTTTTTTTGAAAAATGGAAAGAGAAACTATACATGAGGATGGGGAAGAAAGTTACCTCAATGTTTCCAGTTGTCAGATACAAAACTCCCAAGTTGGTCCAGGCAACAACATTCTAGACAGAACAAATGAAGTTAAAGGCAGTTTATTACTATATTCAAGCATAATGCTGCATCAGGGGAAAAGTTTTAAATGCCCACTTGAAACAGATGGCATCTGCCTACAACACTTACGATTTTCTCAGCTTGAACAGATTTGATGAACGAATGTTGAGCAAGAGCATAATTCCCAATAGCTGGGGAGGGAAAGAAAAAAAAAAAAAAAAAAAGGGAAAAAAGGAGAGCTAGATCTAACTGATTTCACAAACACCATTAGTCAAGTTGCCTTCTAATTTAGTATATTATGGAGCTAGGGGTTTCACTGAAGACTTACCACTACACGAAGCAACCACACCAAGTGCATTCCAATAAAGATGATTTTTGCTGTCAAGCCTCACAGCTTTTTTGAGACACTGGAAGAAAATCAAATGTGGATTATCATCACTAGAAAAGCAAAAATTAAAACTTCATGCACTTTCTTATTCAGAGATGTAAGTTTTACTGGGAACAGAAAGATTATGCAGACAAACACCAACACCAATTTAAATTTTAAAGAATGTAATGGGAAAACAGGCAATACCTGTAAAGACTTCTCTAGCAGTTCACTGATCTCATTCATGTCAGATCCCACTGCTGTGAGGTGCTCTGCTTGTCTATAATAATTTATTCCAAGATCACACCATATGCTAGGCAAAGGCATCAGTTTTAAAGCTCTGCCATAACACCTACAGACACATGAATCACAGAAGCATTATTCCAAGCCTTTCTGCATGAAGAGCAGGACGCTGAAAAAACATTCAAAGGAGTGCTTAAAAACCTAAACATGCATAAATACAAGCAAAACCAGACAAGAATGGAAAGGAACAAACAACTAACTCATTTTCTTTCAACCAGATATCTTCACAGCATCTTTCCTGGTCTAAAGGCAGTCTGTAGTGCCCACCACTTATGAAGCCACAGATGTGCATTAAACAAAAAGTATGTCCGTTGCGGCATGCATGCTTTTACTTAAAACAAGCACTAGTCATTTTTACAGTTAATAAGACTTCCCCCAAGAAGCATTTGACTTCATGTATCATGGCTGAGATTTACTAAGCAGCTGCATTTCCTGCCTTACACATCCAACCGCACAAAGCTCAGAAGGGAGAGTCACAGAAGAGGCTACAGAAAATATTTTCTGTCATTGTGAGCCAGAAACAAGGAATTCCCTCTTCCAATATATTCGA